GATGATTCCCTCAGTCTATCACCTGAGCTCTGGGATCTCCAATTTAAATATATGTTAAAAGGAACCAAGGGGAAATCACTTCAGCCCAGGGTTCCCCTGTCTGGTGAGGGCCTTGGCTACGTGGACAGGGCTTAGTTTGATAAGAAACTCCATTGCAGGCTTTCTTAATGAGACTTGTGTCAGGCTTAGCAGAGGCTTGTGAATAGCTTTTGATCTCAAAGAATTAGTGACGATGAAAGAACATTGTCTCAAGAGAGTTTTTAACCTGCTGTAGCAGTGCTGTGTTCAATAGCTTGCCCTCTTTTCCCAGCTGTAATAAAAAAATCTCTCTGCTTTTTACAAACCTCACCTATCAGGTAGTAGGCTAACGTGGTTGAAAGAACATACTAATCAGGTTCAGCAAAGCAGTCAATATCAAACTGTTAACTGTTAATATCAAGAGTAAAACAGGGATGAGGATTCCATCCTTGGTAATCTGTACTGACATTGGCTTTTTTTCTAATTTTTAATGTGCATTCAAAATAGTTTTTTTTCCTCAGCTGTCCTGATGGTATGACAATGATTCTTGGAGGAAAAGATTGAGTTGTACTGTTGAAAATGTGTGGTGAATCACAGTCATCAAGCTTTGAAAATAAATGTGGAGACTAGCCACTCAGCTTTGTAAACTTTACACCAGTTGAAGGAACTCGCCTCAAGTATTCAGACAATGTGTGTTTTGCATGTTAATTGAAGCTGACTGGTATCCAGACTGCGATGGTCTTAATCTTCTCTGCAGTGGTGTGTAATGCTATTAAAAAAAAAAAAAAATCAACAGCATAAAAGCAAGCCCTCTAGCTAAGGAGATAAATATTTGTACACAGATACTGTTTTATTTATAACAGAGAGGAGAATGCTTGGAGCGGTTACTCAGAAGTTTTACATTTCAAGAAGACGCTTCGCTTTTTCCCGTTACTCAGTTTGGATCTAGAGTGGCTTTGAGTCTTTGAGCTGTGTAATTTTCATAGACCAAGTTCAGTTGCTCGGTTTCTAGTAATTTGCTTTCTATCTCCCCAAATCTTACAATAGTTCGTACTTTAGGGAGACATTAAGAAGAGCAGGATCGGGTCTGTGGAACAGCGTAGGCTTTGGGTGATCTCTCACCTTCATTGGGGGTCCAGCCCGGCTGCTTTACACACAAATCATAGAATCATTGAATGTTGTGAGTTGGAAGGGACCCACAAGGATCATCGAGTCCAACTCTTGCCCTGGCATAGGACAGTCTGCTGAATTCAGTGGGATTGTTTGCAGGTACTCTCAGGGTTTTTTGTGGTGGGTACATACAGATGTTTTCCTTGTAAGGGCAGTGTGGGAGGCTGGATTCTGGAATCATCCCTTTTCCAAGAATTTACACTGACTTGAGCTCCCTCTGGGGTCAGAGAAAGTTAAAATGCATAGCATTATTCAGGACCAGATTTTTTTCCTTGGGCAGTTAAGGGATTATTCCAAGCACTAAAATGTGAAGTAACTGTGAGCAGAACAAATGCTCTCAGACCTTTTCCATAATATTTGGCACATGTTCACAGAAAATTTGCAGGCTGGAGGAATAGCTTCCCTTGGAAATCTAATTTAAAAAGGCATTAGCTGTATCTTAATATAATAAAACAACTAGATTTAGAGATAATGTTTTGTGACTAACTAGTTCTTTGTAACTACTGTGTTTATAACCATAGTCTGCGAAACTTTCAGCTGACCTATAGCCTGGCTCGCTTGTGGCATATACCATGGTCTTAGAAATGGTTCACACCTTCCTTCTGGCTTGGGATGTCCTTATGCACAGGAATTGGCTGCTTCTCCTCCAATTATCTCTGTGGACTTCAATGGAACTAGATCTGGTAGATCTGTGCAAATTTTTAGCTCTGAACTTGTAAGGAAAAGGAGAAAAAAAAAAAGAAACAATGAAAATGTAGGTTTTGATCAGTCTATAATGAACTTTTTAGAACAGAACAAGACATGCTTTGGTTGAAAAAAGTATTTTGTTCATACAAAACAGACACTTACAATAAAAGCAAAGTAAATGATGAACTGAGTTCCTTAAATTGCTTATGATAATTAAATCAGTATGTTTCTTTTCATCCGTAGCCTGATAGACTCAGCATTTTCCTGTGAGGTGGTGCATGTGACTGAAGTTACTCGCTTGCTGCAATGACTAGTCTGTGGGGTAAAGATAGGAAGCCAGCATCTCGCCCTCTGCTTCCTTTGCTTTAACACAAGCTCCTGAAAATAAAACATGTTAAAAGTTGGTGGTAATGTTTTTGTTTCAGTCAAAAAAGGTTTGTCGAATTTGATGGAATTCTGGAATTACTTCAGCCACCCTGAAAGAGAATTTTTCAGCTAATAAATTTGCCTGGGTGCCCTTCAGTGGGACAGCCTGGCCTTAACTTTAGGATTGCATTTAAGACTATTGAAAAAAAAAAAAATAGAGATACATGGAATGCATAAAAGACAAACTATCACCAGTCTCTTCTTTAGTAAAGGTAACTGGCAGCAGCTGCTGTGACTCAATGAATCAGAAATAGTTGTAGATAATGGATGGTAAGACAAAGACAATGTAATTTTTTTTCACATGAGAGCGGATGATTGTGTGACAAGGTTTTATTATAACAACTGTACTTCTGTTTTTCCAAATGATTGATGCATGCAGTACTCTGCATAATCTTGTTTGAAGATGAATGTTGGTGCCACGAAGCAACCATTACTCACTGTGCTATTATTGAATATGAATTTTGAATGACTTGTGGCAGAGAGCTGCTGGGTACTTAAATCAATGAAATAAAAGTCAGGAAGAGCTGGAGATAAGGTTCCTCCTGCAATATTGACTCTTGTGTCTTGTGTACAAACAATGTTTCTGGAAACTAGTTAAGGGGTCACATCTTTGGACTCCCCATACATGGGAGGAAGGAAGGAGGAGGCATATGAACCAGTGCTTACTGTTTGGAGGTGGAAGTTGGTTCGATTTTTTCTCTTCCTCCTGTCCTGCATTGGCAAGAAAAGCTGGGAATGGGTAGGAGGGATCAATGGTTTGGCTCTAGGGAGGAGGTAAACTCATCTTCTACATGTGCTGCTTGAGACTGGAATCAACCTGAAAGGTTGGGGAGCACCTTTCCTAGCTCTTCTTATCAAACACTATTTGTTGCTCTCACACCTGGTGATGCAGTTACACAGAAGAGGGGTATGGGAGCACTGAGCCATCTTTCTTCTTCCATGGGGGTGTGGTTCCTCCATGGATTCCCCAAGCTAGGTTCCGGGATTGGTGGGAAACCTGCTGGCATAGTTGAATACTCTCCACCTGGCTTACAGAGATGAGTTGTATTCAGTGTATTTGTACATCACTGACCTTCCCATTTACATTCTCACATCAGGAATGAAGTATTGGACAATTATTTCATTTTTTGACCACTGAGAAGCGGATGGGTTAATCTGCCCGGAGAGGAGGGTCTACTTCTTGCTCAAGATTCTTTGTAAAGCAAAATATGTAGCTGTGTGTCAGCAATAACACTGTCAGTACGAGTAGCATTTATGGGACCTAGCCAGAGGAAAAATCAGTATTTTTTATGATTTTTGTTCTCCACAGCCTCCCTGTTTATGTGGGGAAAGGAGCGGGGAAGGAAACCCAGCTGGAAAGAGTTGTTGGTGCAATGTTTATGGGCAGACTGACTACTCCTCAGTTCTGCCATGAGATACAGCTCCATGGAGACTTGATTTCTCCTGAGAGCACTGATACCACATGGGCATTGTGATAGCAAGGGAATACAGATACTCACTTCGTTTTTAGAGCTTCATGCACATGTCTGGTGGAGGAGGTTGGGCTCCCACTACAGTTAATAAAGTGAGAGTTGGCACCTATATTGGGCTCTAGCTCTGAATCACCTTGTAGAAAAGGCTATTTTTTTCTCCATGGACTGTAGAAAAAGCTGAGGAAGAGCAGTCTCCTAGGTAGGAGACAAATTTTACGTGACATGACTACTCCTCTACATTTTTGCATCTTGAATGGGACAAATTAACAACTTGTGATTTCTGCTACACTATTAAATGTATATTTGAATGTTTATTTTACTGCTGCTTAACGAGGATGAAGACATTCACAAAAATGGTTTAACATGTCAAATCTTTATCCCATTGTCCTTTTAAAGGAATGATAATTTTCTTCTTCTAATTGTAAGCCTGCATATTATTGGATTGTTTAAAATATTTATATTTTACTCTTACATTTTTTTCTCCTCTTTCTTCTCTTTTTTTTTTTTTTTTTTTTTTCTCCTTTGTCTCAGAAAGCAGAGTGAAGGAGAGGAATAGGCAAAAGAAAATTGCACAAATATATTAATTGTCTTTGACACAGGAGACATTTTCTGCACAAATTTTTGTTTCCAGAAAGTCTGTTCCCCCCTTAATAATAATAATAACAACAACATGATAAAAACACTTCCATGAATTCTGTTTAATAGAGATAGAATAGCCTAAGGGTGATCTCTTGATCTAATGAAAATCATAGCATTTCCTAACCTTGTATAGTATTTCTGCAACAGTATCCCTAAATATACTCTAATACAATTTTGTATATGTGTACACCAATCATCACAAATGACTGACATTTGTCAACAGATGCTACTCAAGAAGTTACTTGCTTTCTTATGGCTGAAATGAAATTCCTCTCTCTTAGCTCCTGTGTTAAATTCCAACTTGAACTTATTTCAGTATGAGTAAGGGACAGTCATAACTCGCTGACTTATTTGAGCCTAAATATAATGTGATGTTTGCCTGGCGTTATTGTGACTGATGTTTGAAAAGTGATTTTTGCTGATTTCTTATATATGGCTTAAAGAACCTTGTAGACTTCCAAAAGTTTTCACCTGCCAATCATATATGTTAGGTCTCATGCTGGATCTGATTTTGAACTGACGCTTATTCTCAAACCTATTTCTTTTTGTACTAATCAAATTTCTCTTTTCCTTTTCTGTAGATTGCGATCTTTGGTAAAGCAGTTAGAGAGAGGGGAAGCTTCAGTTGTCGACCTAAAGAAGAATTTGGAATATGCTGCGACTGTTCTTGAGTCGGTATACATTGACGAAACTAGGTGAGTTAACTACAGACATCAGCACTCTTCTTATATCTAGTACCAAGGACATAAAATTGTAATTTACATCTCAATTGGGAAAGTTGTTTTAGCCAAGATTTATTACTCACAGACAATATTTTTTTAATCATTAAAATATTGTATTCTGTGTAGAGCAGATCTTAAATCCTTGGTCTAAAAGCTTCTTTAAGTTTCCTGGGGCAGGAGGGGAGATCAAAAGCAGTCAGAAATTTAATATATTGTCACTTGAAGAAATGTTTTCATAATAATTGTGTCCCACTTTTTCTGCAAGTTTCTAAATTCCTGCTCCTCTGTTCCTTTTGAATAGTGTTAAATCTTTTCACTTGTATCATCTTTGAAATAAATAAATAAATTACTCTAGGTCACGATAGAGGTAGATTGGTAAGATGCTGCAGAGGAGTTCCCCTCTCTGTTATATGCCATTTCTCTAATGCTAAGTGCACTTGTAGAGTCACCTCAGATGACCAGAGTGGAAAAGGACTGTATGATACTAACTGGGAAGTTAGATGTAACCATAAATGATCTCTGAAGGGCAGAAAGGTCAGGAGTATCGACGAGCCGAAGATGAGAAGTCAGTGGATGGTGATGTAGTTGCACTTAAGAAGGCTGATACTTGTTTGTTGACCTAGTAGTGAGTTTCCCAATCTGGCATTTAATTATACAAGAGAATAAACACAGTTGCAAACTTGTACAATTGTGTTCCATTAGGGCTGATGAGCCAAAGACTTTTAACAGTTACCTTAATTAGAATATATATTTCTGTTTGTTAATAATGTTGCAGTGCTCTCCAAGGGAGTCTGTTTATCCACCTTTTTCCTCCCCCTTCTAGGCGTTTACTGGACACGGAAGATGAGCTCAGTGACATCCAGTCTGACTCTGTGCCCTCGGAGGTCCGGGACTGGTTGGCTTCTACCTTCACGCGGCAAATGGGAATGATGCTCAAAAGAACAGAAGAAAAACCCCGGTTTAGGAGTATTGTCCATGCAGTACAAGCTGGGATATTTGTGGAAAGGTAAAGGAGCATGTAATTACTTTGTTCTAGTAGCTGCCCAGGTACCATAGATTGCACCTGTAGTATGTGATGACGCAGTGGAAAGAGATGGAGGAGAGTTCCTTAGGCCAGAAGACCTCAGAGAACTAGGAGATGACTGTATTGAATGAAGAATACTTTAACATGCTTCTAATGATGTTTCTGCACAAATCTGGATTGCACCTCAGAACCTGGGATTAAGTAATAGATTGCAACCTGAAACAGCACATACTGATCTGTTCTTAGCATAACACAGATGTAATAGCACGGTTAGAATGATTTTGACAGAGAATGTGCACCTCTGCATAGCCCTAGGTCAAGAGTGACAGCTTTTAAAATTTGGTCAGCCCAGACTGAGCCCTCTCTTGCCTCTGTTTACCTCTGTGTCTAGTATTTCTTATGAAGAAATGCAAAGAAACTGAAGAAAATCCTGTATCATAGTGTTATTGGAATGAACTATAGACCACGACTGATGTGAAAATTTTGGAGCTCAGGGAGGAGTTAAAAAAACCACATTGAGTCCTCTCAGCCTTCTCTGTTGTGATTTGCATCAGAACCTACTGCTAAAATTGATTTCATTTTCCGAACCCTTTAAAAACATTTAGTCATTTTAATTTTGACAGCTCTTTGTGAATTAACCCTCACTCTCAGGGAGGGTGTTGCTCAACAAGGAAGTAAATCAACTACAGAGACCAGGCTGCAGAAGGCTTTCCCAGCTGATCTGAATCACTGTCGCCAAAGGAGCAAGTGTTCATTTATGATATAGCACCAGAGCAGGGTTGTGGCTCTCCTGAGCTAAGGGAGAGGGACTCTGGCTGAATTGTCACTTAAGAGAAGGCTATGGGGCTCCTGGCTGGAGGGGGTAAGAGATTCTGTAATTTGGGGAATGGGTAAATTTAGTTCTCCAAAGGAGGCTGACTTTTTTTAGGTCTGAGTGCAGAACATGACAAAGGAAAAGGGAAGTGGGGGAAGACTTCACACAGAATAATCCCAAATGGGAGAACTGTCCATCATCTCCTTTTAGTCCTGTGTTGCTTAAGTGCAAAAAAAGGGTGACCTGCAGAAAGGCATTTTAGCTATGACAGTGTTTCTGTAGTTTCTAAGCCTGTTAAACACAGCGTGACCTGAAAACAAGTTTAAAATCTGGCACATACTTCAGTGCTTTGTTTCGTATGGTTGCAGATGCTGAGTATTGCCTTATTCTTTCTCTCTCTCTCTCCCCCTCAAACACACACACATACACATGGCGAATGCCCAGAAGATTTTATACCAATCTTAAAAAAAAAAATACGGACAAAAGTAACAGCTGTATGGAACTGGAATGGATTCATTGCAGATAACACATGATTTCTGAAGTACATTCAGAATTAGCTTGCATTTGGATCAGCAGGGACTAAGGGAACTGAAGGAGCGGTGTGGTCATCTGCAGAGGAAAATGGAGAACATGTTGTTTATTAGAGTGTAGCCTTTCTCTCTGATGATGGCAGATTCTCTCTGATGTCCTGCTGGGTAACCAAGCTAAGAGATACTGAAGAGTGTATAGTCCCAAGTTAGACTATACAATAAGAATGGTATAGAGAATATTGTGCAAGTTAGGAACAAGAAAGAAAAAAAAATTAAACAAATTGCAGTTAGGGTTCCTGGGTTAAATAATGTCTCCTGTAATGGTCTATTGCTCTATGATTTTTGTTTGTTTGTTTTGCTTAATTCTATTTATGTGTTTCCTTATCTATTTTATCTTGGTAGAATGTACAGACGAACTTCAAATATGGTTGGTTTGAGCTACCCACCAGCTGTAATTGGAGTGCTAAAGGTAATCCAAATCAAAAGGTGTTGGGGGGCGGTTCAAAACATCAACACTGCGATATTTGACTTGGTTAGGGAGTCTGAGTACTTGCCCTTTCCTTCTCTCTGACATTTAGTTTAGTTCATATACATTAATCATTTACTGGCCTAATGGGATATCCTTTCAATAAAGAAAGAATAGAGTTCAAGGCTGCAACCATTTTTTAGGTTGTTCTAGATTATGGTGATTAAACTGAGGACTTAGTAACATGCTGGAATCAATCACAACCTTCCACAGGGAAGAAAGAAAACACAGATGGAGAGAGGTGGAGAAGGAAGAGGATCAATTGCTGTGAGTGAAGGGAATTTCTTGCACTGCTCAGCTTCAGTTCTTCAAGATGACAATCAGTTTAGGAATAATGACCCTTTTATGAGTTTTGAGGTTTCAGGGGAGAACTCGTTAGTCAGAAGTAGTCTGAAACAAAAAAGGTTCAATCCATGGCATAATTGCAAGTTTCTTGATTTAGGCACGAATTATCAAGACTACAAACACAAATTAGCAACCAACTGCCTACACAGCAGCTTTGCAGAATATGTGTTGCATGTGATTCAACCATGCCATGCAGTGATGAAAACTAGTGATACAGTGGGGCAGTACACAGGGACATTATGTGTAAAGCTCATGAAGCAATCCTTCTGTTGTACTCCACACTGGAAATACCTACAGCTAGCGTGCCAATTCCTTTTTATTTTGGATAGTACAACTCATCGAAAGATGTGGAGTAATTACAGAAGGTCCATTGAATGCAAGAAGAATGATCAAACATGCCTTTCACGTACAGAATCAAAACATCCATCCACACCTTTTTCCAACTGCAGGTTGACAAGTGTTAGCTTCACTCCTGCAAATGGGATCTAAAGTCTTTGTTCTTTTAGAACTACACTCCATAGCCAGTTTATGAAGAATGTATCTCTAAAGGTACCTCTTCTCCTGAGTTTCTCAGCAGTAGCAAGACAATCTAAGACCCATCAGCTACTCTCAACTGACTTAAACTTTACAGAATCTTGCTCCTCTTTCTATCTTTTTAAATTATTAAGGGTCATAAAGAGAACTGATCATGCTTGAGTAATTTAAAACACCTCAATAACAACAAAGGTGTTGACTAATTTTGCTCAGCGTAAAGTAATGACCGCTTGACCACTGTGTGCTCTAGGATAGTATATTTATTGAAACTATTTTAAGAACATGTCTTTTCCTGGATGGCCTTGGGGTTGGTAGCGGATGTGGTTAAAATGGGAGTTACTTGTTTTGAAGAAGTCTTCTGTCTTTGAAATAATACTTCATCTTAAATTTCTCAGTCCTGTCTCCTTAATGGAAAACAGTATGGTTTTTTTGCTTGCTTCAGTCCAGTAAGGCCAAGTAAAAAAACCTTAGAACTACCCAGCTGCTTGGTGTGCTCTGTAAAATGAGCTGATGGTTTAAGCATGGAAAAGTGTGTAGGAGGGTACCACACACATCTCTTCAGCTGTTCTAATAAGGACAAGGATTGAGATGACATGGAGTCAAAACTAGCTTCTTCTCTTTCTGTTCTCCTTTTTGCTGCTGTGGCCAACAGTGCAGTGGTCTGCACTGAGTAACCCAAAACTGTGGGAATCAGCTTAGCAAAATGAGGTTGGTTTTAATAAAACAATGAAATACTACAACTTCTGCAAAAAAATGCAGATGGAGTGGAAGCAGTGGAAGTCCTAGGTGTATAATCTCTCTCACTTTTTCAGTGGATGAAAAGTTAGACAGTTTTTTGAATTGGTTGCCCAGCATCTCTCTCTTTATCTATCTATTGGATACTGATTTTTCTACTGCAGTAGCCTGTTGCCTTTCTTCATGACATGAGTGTGATGATGTAAGGCCTGTTGTCACAAAAGACATGATCAGCCTTGTCTTGCACTTGAATAGTGGCCCTACATACCATTCATAGAGACATGTTTGAATAAATAAGTATATTAATTTGCCCAGTAAATTGTGGTGATCTACTGTTCAGCAGTCTAGTACTAGAGACAGAACTTCACATTAACGAGCTGCTGAAGTAGTTACCTGCTTTAGAAGTGATTTTTTCAGCCTTTCCTGATGCCCGTGCTGTCATGGCGATATTTTCTGAGCTAGTTAATATACAGTTAATGAACGCAGAACCTGTAGTCACTTACAATATCTGCAGTATAGATTTCTGCTTGTCTGTGGCTACGAAAACATCAGGCTTTCCAGTAATGTTGAGGAGAGTAACATTTATCCCTGAATCTACTTGTTAGCTTGTAAAACAAATCAAGTCTCCAAGGTTAAGGACAGGTAGAAAGGCAGGAAACAGCATTTAGGAAGATCTGGTGTTTCACTTAATCTCTAGGTTCCCCCAAGCAGTGAAGCAATCACCAAGTAATAAGGGCACAGGACTGAGAAGTAAGACACCTTGGGTCTTATTTGCAGTTACACCATGGTGGGTATATGTGACAGCAGAACAGCTTATGACGCTTCAGCTGAGGCTACAGGCCCTCAGACATGTGACCTAGAGATATGTGTAGCACAGAAGGTTTCCCATCCCTTGCTTCTCCTGTTCTCTTTAGGGAGAAGGAAGAGTTTTTCTCCTCTACCACAAGATATCTGTGAAGTTCTGCCTCCTTTTAGATCTCTCCCCAAAACAGGGATCACTTCTGTGTTAAATTTGTTTTTTAAAGTAATAAAGTCCACTGATTTTCAAAGCATAAGTGGTGTTGCTGCAAGCCTCTAAGCCATCTGTGACACTTCCATGCTTCTGTTACGATGATTTTTCCCCCTAGTTGTTCAGGGTAAAATACTGGTGGCATTGTCAGTAGCAAAACTTTTGTTGACTTGACAAGAGCAAGGATTTCTCCCTCAGTAAAATCTAAATAGCTCTGCTGTGGAACTTACTGTCTATGTGGTTAACCATTATTTCATGCAAAAGAACAATTCTGATGTACTATTTGCAATTTTGCAATTTGATAATTTTTTTCTGCTGCAAGAGCACAACAATAACTACAGGAAAAACATATAAAGTAACAAAACCCTTTTATTTCTACAAGGTAAGATTACCTTACGGTGAATTAAATTTCAGCATAGTTGAGACATTCTTTTCAATGCTGTAGAGCTGAAAAGTAAATTATTATATACAAGCAATTGTTAAATTAATTTGCGTCACTGATTAAGTGATTACAAAATAAAAACACTCAAAAGTCAGGAAAATACTTAAAATTGACTGAGTGGATGCTTTGGACATTGTTTTTCTTGCCCTTTTTCTAAGTTTGTTCAAGGGCTTCAAAATGTTTTCTTGGTGGAACTGTTTCCTCTCTTTGTTGTTTTTCCTCTCCGTGCCTTCAGAAAGTGCTGAAAAATTGCAATTTATGATTGCTCTTCTGTGACTTGGGCCACAGATCATCTCTGGAGAAGCTTGACCTTACCTTCAGTGTGTGAGCTCCACACAGCTTGTGAAATCAACTGCTCCACAAACAAGTGTTTTACTGGGATAGGTGAAAGCAGAGCTGAATCTTCAGCATCCTTGATATTCACTCACTAATTAGCCTCTCCATGGACCATACGTCCACAAGAGGCATACTCAGCTCTGTGTAATCAACACTGTGCAAGGAGCAAGGTTGTCAGGATCAGCCCATGCTGGAAAGAGCCAGTACCAAAATACACTGGTCTCATTCAGAACATAAGAAGTCCTGTAGCTATGCTAATGTATGGGTGACTGATCACAAGGTAGTTAAAGGTCACTGCCCTTTGCGTTTGACTTAAAGTCAGGTCCTTACCTGGAACATGACCACGATGACAAACAGCAAAGGTGAATGGGGCTTTAAGAAATTGGTAGGTAATTGTAATTTAGCATTTTTAGTATTGCTAAAAAAGATGGCAGATTTTTAGATGAACTTGAATCCTTAACAGCACTCAACATTATGCCTAGCCAACCCCCAGAGCAGCTGCGCACATGCATGTGTGAAATGTAGTAATCTTTCTTTCTTGGTCAAAGTGCCACAAGGAAATGGGAGGTAACGTGCAACAGAGTTTGAAAGTGGAGGGAAACTTCAATGTACAGATGTCAATCTTTAATATGTGGTTTAAAAAGAGATATTTGGATAAATCCCTGTGGGAAGTACATCAAAGTTCTCAGCAGGCAAGAGAGATTGAGAGCTGATCCTGTGCTGGATGCAGCTGCATGGTTGATCTGTATATCATTTTTCTAGCTGTAACTCCTTCCACACCTTTCCTCTTTGTTGCTGGGAGGAGGAGAGAAATGTTCATAGGTTTTCAGGAACATCCAGTTCTGAGATCAAGGAGATTTATCTTGCTAGATAGTGAGTGCTGTCAGCTCCCACAGCCTTCCCTAAAAGTTAAGATTTGAACTCCACCTTCTGCAAGGAGGTTTATACCTTATACTTTAGCTTTATGAGCTGGGTAGTGAACTTCCCCTCCTCAGTCTCTTGACTGAGCACCCTGCAGCATTAATATATCATTTACAGATGACTGGAACTTTCCCAACTGGAATTACATATTTACTCTTCTGTTATAAAGGTTGTTTTTTATATAATTGTTAACATTTAATGTAACATTACTGTGATTTTCTCCTGCTCTGTAGTTTTTTGAAAGCCCCAGTGGACTCACTTATCTTTTAAAAAAAAAAAAAAAGGAAAGTTAGGGCCACACTGTCTTCGGGCAATTTAAGCTGCAATAATCACAATTCAGGATTAATATTAAAATCAGAAGGAACTAAGTTGCTCTTTGGGTCTAGCAAGGTAGTTCTAGTTACTTATTATTTTGGTTGATAGAACAGTAAGTGATAAAAATATGACTACGGGTGCCTGTATTTTTTTTACTGCAAAAAACATACCACTTTATTCTGTTTAAAGCCATGAGTGAAGCATTGGTGTGCTTTGCTCACAATACAAAGTCATAAAAACTCTATAGGGAAAGCAAAATCCAGAGGTTTTAATATCATTAAAGAGCATATCTCCATTATTCCTGTCTTTTTCAAAGTTAATATTATTTTTCATAGACATAGCATGTGTGTAGGGGACAGAGAAGTTACCCACAACAGGGCCATCTCAATGTTTCCAGTACTGAAGCAGACCAGGATTCTTATCTTTTTGGCTTCAACTTTTGCTGATTAAATTCTGGTGTGGAGAATTGACATGTTTAGAATAAACAACCAGCATCCGTGTTGATAATGGAAGCTTCTTAAACATGAGTCATACAGTTCTGATGAGAAAATTAGACTCTACATTGGTTAAATGGAATTAAAGTTAAAAAAATAAAAAAAGCTATACACTTAACATTGCTGCTCTAATTCTCCATTTGTAGATGTAAACAAATAGAATTTGAACTAGCGTTGTAAAAGAGGTGACCATTCTAACTGTCTTTTCTCCCTACTCTTGCAGCATGTAGACAAGTGGTCCTTTGATGTATTTGCACTAAACGATGCCAGTGGGGATCATGCACTGAAATTTATTTTCTACGAACTTCTCACACGTTATGATCTGATCAACCGTTTCAAGGTCAGTAGTTAGAAGATGGGTCTCTTCTTCCGTCTTGGATTTCACTGAACTTCTCTCCCATCCTCCTTTGTTCCATTAAAAATGCAATTTTAATGCCATTTGAAGGCTTCATGGACACTTCACTTTCCCCAGTAAGCAAGACCAAATGTTAGCTAAGAAGTACTTTTCATTGCGATGGGACACTATGAAGTAGGTGGGGTTCCAAACAGGCTTCCCCATGAAATCCATTGGAAATTTTGTATTTGATTCTGTGGGAACCATGGTGTTATTCTCCTGAGATTCATAGGACTCTCAAGTGCGCAGGCAAAAAAAGGAGAGCTTGGATTCAAATTCAAAGTCATCAAAAGAAGCTTGGCCAGCAGGTTGAGGGAGGTGATTCTGCCGCTCTACTCTGCTCTGGTGAGACCCCACCTGCAGTGCTGCGTTCAGCTCCGGAGTCCCCAGCACAGGAAAGACATGGACGTGCTGGAGTGGGTCCAGAGGAGCAACGTGAGAATGATCAGAGAGATGAAACACCTCTCCTATGAGAAAAGGCTGAGAGAGTTGGGGTTGTTCAGCCTAGTTGAAGACGTTTCTTCTTATTGTAGGGGCATTGGACTACATGACCTTTAAAGGTCCCTTCCAGCCCAGACTGTTCTATGGTTGTTAGAGAGGTTTGCAGATACAAATGCTATGGATCTTTTCCTCCAGCTTTGAACAGGTTTAAATTTGGATGGCAGAAACACTGCTTTCAGATCTTGACCATTCTCCTCACCCAAATACTCCACTGTCCCTTCCTCCACCGAAACTTCCACTCCCTGAGGTCCCCACTCACTTTGGCTGGAAAGGATTCACAGATCTCTGGCTGATAAATGATGCTGCTCTTTAGTAGAGTGTCTCAGACTTGCTGTATGTTGTGTTTCATTAGAAAATCTGGAATGTGACTAGTAAAGCAGAAATATATTCCGATGGGTTGTGAGGGGAACAGAGAGATGCTCGTGGCCTAATTAGAATTATTTCTCCAGGTGCAATCAATCAAGTGCTCCCTGTTACTTTTCATATTGCATGTGTCTTCCAGATGGCAGTTCGTAGTACTCGCTTGTGTGTGTTTATATGTGGGAATGATTCATCCATAGTGTACTTAGGGATGGGAAAGCCAGTTGGAGGAAGTAACCTGGCTTCACTCTCTCTCGAGTATCTGTTTCAGATGTTTTAGCTTGTTATTGATTTGTGAAGTATAAACTGCTCTTTGGAACCTCTTATTAAAATGCTTCCCTCCAAATGCTAGCCATTAAAGGCGATTATTTTGTTTGTAATTCTGTGCTGTTTCCCTCAGATCCCCATTTCTGCCCTGGTGTCCTTTGTGGAAGCTCTGGAGGTTGGCTACAGTAAACACAAAAATCCTTATCACAACCTAATGCACGCTGCAGATGTGACACAGACGGTCCATTACCTCCTTTTCAAGACAGGCGTTGTGGTAAGTACACAAGTTGGCATCCTGAATATATAATGAGATTACAACAGTTTTGGCTTATTATGGAGATTATACTTATCCACAGTGGAACCCGTTTGCACTGTAGACAAACTTCAGTGGATATAGCTGTACTAATGGAAGTAGAGATTTAGGTTTATTTAGAGATAACAAATCAGTGCTGCCTGAAGTTTGAAGTGACAAGTAAAAACTGTTCAGTATTAAAATACTTTCTTTTTTAATGTCTGGAGTATTTTTCCTCTGTGTTTCAGAGGAAACGATGTTCTGAACTATGTGCAGAGGTCAGAGAATGTGCATATTCCAGATCTACATCTGTGAAAGGGAAACCAGAATTTGTGTGCTTGTGAGCATGTGTACATACTGGCACTGAAGTCAGTGACTCATCTGCCTGAGCCCTTTGCTTTCGTATTCCTACTGTAATAAACTATGCAGAAAGTATCCTGTGCAGACTGTGATGATGGAGTTGCACTCCAGAGGACATAGTGAAGTGTCTGCTCTTTCCCAGGAATATTCCCAAGCACTTATTGTTCCCACAGCCAAATGATATGTGGCTTTGGTTTAGGAATTAATGTAGCACAATAAGAAACCACTCTTATGCTACTGGGAACAAGGGACTCGCAACACTCTGTGCCAACAGTGACGTTTCAGCTTTGCTTCCCTTGTTAGAATGCCTTTTTTAACTTTGGGGTTTTTTGTTGTTTCTTTCCTTTTTTTCATTAGTTTCGACCTCACCTCCCCTGCAGGATACGACACATCTAAATGTGCATAGATTGATGTAGTTTGAAAACAAGCTCTTGAGGTTATTGCTACTGCCCTCCCGCTCACAGCAGGGCTAGCTTTTAACATGCATTGTATGTTCACACATGGTAAAGAAATGTAGAGGACATTTTCTTATTTCCAGAATTTGTTCACATCAATATCTTATTCTTACTGTAGTGTGCATAGTTGTTCAGTTCATCACTTTCACAATATTTATGGAAGGAACTTGGACATGCTGGAATGTAAGACACCGGTTTCAGGAGGTGTGTTGAGGCCATTGGTTTAATTCTTCACTGGGATGAAGATAAAGACTTGTGAGAGAATCATACAGTAAAATAGAAAAAAACCTCCCTCATTTATCTTGTTAACTAGTTATTTGCAGTGTGGAAAAAGTACTTTTTTTCCAATTCAGATAGTCTGTATAGTGGTAATTTATTCTAGTCTCCAAGGGAGGAAACAATTGTCTAGTTTTATCTTTACATGGTTCATTTGCCTTTGTCATAGTCCCTGTTATTTACAAGCTCTCTCAGCAGTTTTGTTCGAGGCTTCTTTTTTCTTCTATTTTCTTTTCAATTAAAAAAATATCCTTTCCCTCTAATCATATTCAGTGCCTGAAATATCTTTAGTTTTCCTGTTTTCTCCCTCAGGACGATGCCTTGGAATGAATTTGTTATACTTTACCATATGAACTAGAATATCCTGGGTTTTTTCATAGATATACTTTACAATTATTAGGAATTACTATATTATTTCTTTGTGAATCCAGACAATGAGGTGCAGATGGTAAAACTTAACATTTCTTTCTCTGCTGCTGTCAAGAAGTACAGGAGAATATTTCCTGCAGCAGACCTGTAAAACTGCAGAAGTACAAGACTTGTCACATCTGTTTGTACCAAAGGGAAGTGAGATCCTCCCTTCCTCTACACTATGGTGATTAATAAGCAGATCATCATGAGCTCTGAAAATGATAACTACTTTAGAATAACAGACCGTAAACTCTGGGGAAGGAAACAAGCTAATTATTGCTGTCTTTGCTTTGTAGCATTTTCTTGTAAATGCATCCACTTGTTTTGTTAGATTTGGAAACGCTGCTCTTTCCTCTTCCCTTTTCTTTCTGCATGCATCGATCCTTTTGTTTACATGCCAATGGCTTGCCTTAGTAGCTAATTCTTCGTATTTATTGTATGCTTGTGAAAGACAATCATGCTTCATTACCCTTTTTTTGTTTCCACTCTGGAAGCCAATACTTGTTTTTCCATGCCTTCTTCCCCTGCCATCCCCCACCCACTGTCATTGCAGAAAGTTTGAAGGTTTCGTTCTGGATTTTTTTTTTGTCAACCCTTTAAAAATTAAAAACATTCATGTGTCCTCACTCTTTTTACCTGTGATAGTGTCCTGCTGCTTTCTCAATAGTTCTTGATGGCTTTCTTCTGTAAAACTAGCTCTCTATTCCCAAAATGAAGTCCATCAGACTAGTGAAAGGTGATATTACCACTTAGATGGAGATTGAATCCATTCTCTGCAGGCTCTTTGCCATCTTGTTTGCTTTTCCTTGCAAGGTTGTAGCAGAACAAAGGGACTAAAAGGTTTCAATTACTTCCTTGCTATTTCTCTCCTGTTACTCAGAAGCCCATTCTGACTTCGTGCTACTTACAGTGATTTATTTATTACCCACAGTTCACAACTGTAATCCCAGTCTGTATTCTGAGTGGTCTTCCTCAAATGCTGTTCTGAGATTTAATGCCTCTTCCCAGGTGTATTACACCCTGTTTGAAAACCTACGTTACCCAAACTTGTTTCACAAGTGACGCTTTGGTAGGGCATACAAGTTAGCACTTTTCCTGTACGTGTCTTAAGAGATGAGGTAGGAGAGCTCAAGCACAGAGCTCATTGCCTTAGTGATGTTTTAAGGCTTGGGTCGTAAGCTACCTTGATTATGGGCAGTGACATTGTATGAAATATCTCTGGCCACTATTTTCAAACTGTGTCTTTAATGTAAGGAGGTCTTTAATACTGAATTGCTTCATTCTTCATTGGTTATACAGAGATGGCTGTGAAAGGCAGGAGAAGAGCTGGGCAGGTTGTTGTGTGCAAAGCCCCACAGTTACCTGTACTTGCCCTGCACAAGGTTAACAGGCCAGTGGTGGCCCCTGAGATACAGTAGATATCTAGCGTAGACTTATGAAACCACACTGCCTTCACTGGGCTTTGAATTAAAGGCATTTCATTCATTGAACATCTGTCAAAACATTTGCAGTTTGACAGCAAGCTGTTACAAAAATATTTAGCAACCACTGTGGGTAAACGTTTTCTCTCAATGTAATACATGTAAATATTTGTATGAAATGTTTAAAGCATCTACAGTATCTAAAGCCTTTGTCTCTGATACACTTGATGTTAACACCTTTCCTTGTGTGCTACCAGTGGAAAAACAGACATAAAATGATTGACTCAGAAGAAAATTTATCAAAAGCATCTGAGTAATTTAGAATTCTAAGTCAAAAGTGACTTAAGCATTGGAAAATATGGCTTTGACTAGGCAATTAGAAAAAAAAAAACCACAAAAAACCAAACTGCAGGGCTTTCTCATATATTTCTATAAATGATAAATAAATAACAAGACATACAACTCGTGACGTTATGTTCCCTGTTCTCCTCATGATTCAGTGATTGACGAAGACTCTTAGTTACTGGAATTTAATGGCATTTTTCTACTTTTGAGGCTCTGCTGCCCAGGTCAACTAAGCTGGAAATACCTACTCTGGTGGTATGTGCATACCTGCACATGTATCATCAAGTTCCACTTGAAGAACCTTGATTTTCTTGAGGTTTCTCTCTCTGCCTTCCTGACACATTGCTCTTTAAGAAGGGCACCCATTTCCCCTTGCTCTGCCTTAAGCCTTATTAGCTCCTGAAACCATTTTACTGAAGTTCAATTTATTTAGATGAGGCTTCAGGAAAAAACCCACTGGTTTGGCTTTTGTGTATCAGCCAGAGAAGTTTGCTGTATAAAACAGCTGGCAGGCTTCAGGGGAAAGGCAACGATCTGCAGCGCTGCCTGTCAGCAGGGGATAACTTGCCTTAAAAGACAAAAGCCTTAATGCCTGGAAAAATGACAGCTTATCTGATTGCTCTCTAATCTCTTTTCAGCACTGGCTGACAGAGCTAGAGATTTTCGCTATGATCTTCGCAGCTGCCATCCATGACTATGAACACACTGGAACCACCAACAACTTTCACATCCAGACACGGTGAGGCCTCTGTAAATCATGATGAAGGGTTGAGAAATGGAGGGGGAAACCTTTGGAGAATAACAACACAGCCACCTAGAAAAGTGCAGGACTTTTTGCTTTCAGGTGTTACAGGATGAAAGTTCACTTCCTTAGGTTGCATTTAATTTTCTCTTGCTCAACCTTTTACAATGAAATGCATGTATTCTAGCTTCCTGAGTGTTGTTTCATATTCATGATCAGGAAAAAGGAAGGTCCCAGAATATTTCTGTGTAAAGTTGCCAAACACAAATTGCTCTAGAGAGTGATGCATTTTGGTAAAGGTATAGTTTTGAAGGATATACTATAATTCAGTAGTTTTTTCTCCTTGGTAAATTTGAAGAATCAAACTAACTGCATAAACCAAGAATTGAACAATATCTATATTCATCAGTGCATGCCAACACTACACATACTATTTTTACTTCAGTGGCAAACCACACCTGCAGCAAGGTGATATGTTTACCATTACCTGTTTAGGGATATCATTTTTTAAAGCTTAGTAAATTGCTAGACAGTAGTTAGCTTACCACAAACTAGACTGGACTGGCATATTTTTTGAACTCAGAATTTTCTGTAAGGCTTTTGGGTTGGTGAAAGAGAGAGGAGAAAATGAAGGTGGCAGCAAAATTCAGAAGTGTGCAAAGACTGTGAAGTCTCTAGTTGCAATGATTCTTGGGCATCTATTATTTTGACAGTGGGAACGTACTGGTAGCAGTGCCAAAATGTCTAGTTGTTCTTAACTGACATGGCACAGTTGGGCAGTTCTAAGGTGCATTACATCTTACCCTAAATTACATATATGGAGTATGTTAGCTGACTCGTGCTGTGTATCACAGATATTTAAAGAAAGAAGTTTCTGTCTCTGTTCTGGGCCAAGCTACACTCCACTTCTTACAGCTTCATGCATGCAAGAACTAGAGATCTGATGTATTTCCCAAATACTTATAGAAAAATTCAAGGAAGGACAGTTGTAATTTAATTTCTGTAACACTGAATGTCAGAGGTTGTAAAGTGTCAGGGGAGAAAAATATCTGCTGCTCTCTGTGAAGCAGAACTGAGTGGGGACTGTAACAAGTCATACTCGCTCTCTGTGAGTATTAACTTCCAGCAAGAATGTTGTCTTCAGACCAGTTTAGTCATTCATCAATCTCAGATCTATGCCCTGGAGCTCAAAAATAAGGCATGAAGTACCTTTGATCTTACTCTGTCCCATTGGCAGTTGCCCTTTCAGACAGCATAGTCTAGCACAGGTGACAGAAATCAGTTTGGTTACATCTTGCTTACAGCCAGTTTACTGTTTTGGAAACAATAATTGGGATTATTGGAATTTAATATATTATTGGAATTGTAATTGCTTACTTGGGTCTAGTCAGGCTTTAGTATGAGAACAGCATACACAAGAGCTGGAAAAGAGCCTTGTGATTCAACTCTAAATTTACATATCTCTCACAGCTTAGGGTTTGGGTTTGGTGGTTTTTTTGGGTATATAACAAAGAGACTAGGTGAGTCCCAGCTGATTAAGTAGTTTTTGTGGTGAATTTTGATCTTTACTGAATAATAGCAATGAACAAAGTATTACAAGTGTTCTTAAAACACTATAGAACTAATCTCTGTAGCTGATCAAAGGAAAACTTCTGATTGTGAGACTCTTTAGACGGCAAAGAAACATCACCTTTCTTATGTTTTCTTTTAAATGCTAGGTCAGACTCAGCCATTCTGTATAATGACCGGTCTGTGCTTGAAAATCACCACGTTAGCGCGGCGTATCGTCTTTTGCAAGATGATGAAGAGATGAATATTTTATCTAATCTCTCAAAGGACGACTGGAGGTAAAAAGGAAGATGGTGGCTGCCTTGGAACGTTGCAGCATCACCACAGACTTATTTCCTTGCTTGAATGGCAATATGCATTATTGTATGTTGCATAGTAGTATTTCTATTTCTATGAGAAAAACAGCTTTAAAAGGGGTTTGTCTTGCTTATTTCTACTTTCAGTTTTCATCCCTGGTAGTGAGACTAGACTTTGTGACAATGGATTATAATATGCAAATTGATTCCCATCTAATTTCTGCGTCTCACAGAGATAACCTTTCTACACATCTATTTTTGTAATTGAGTGTAGAGGTAACCTACTGTTTGTTCATCCTAAAGCATAAACATAACCTTTATCTACTTTGACACTGCCTGCCTGGAAATTATAGATGGGACTTAATGCAAAAAAGAATCTAGTGGAAGGATCATAAATCAGTGTACTGTATGTGCCAAGGTGATGTAAGAAGCTGTAATTTAAAATAAGCCTCATGCAACATATGATTTATGTGCCAAAATCAGCCCATGATTTGCTTTCTAATAGCAGGCAGTTGAAAGTGATGAGGCCTTTCTGGTTTTATGGGATTTTTTTGAACTCCAAGTGGTGGTACTTTAAAAATAGCCCAGTGTGCAAGACAGAAGAATCCTGCTCCATGGTCTTTCTCATGGGAGGGGAAGCAACTTGTAGGATCTTACATGATGCATGGTGCCTCCTGCATACACTTACACGTGATACAGTGCTGAGCAGTTGGTTCATCTTATTTTAATATAAATATAGGGAAGTGGGGCCTGGCTTCTAGTAAGCTGGTCACTGAAGGCTCTGGTAATCTATTTAGCCTGAATTTCCTTTTTATTTCAACTTGTGGACGTTGATGCAACCCTATAGCTGAACACCGGGAATAAAACTCAGGAACTTATGTGGCTGATTTCAATCAATATGAGTGTTGTGGAGGAGTGGCCTGAGAAATTCTATCCCCCAATGTAGAAAATAGTCTCATCGTGGGCAGCAAGCAGGAACTGGAACTTTAAAAAAAAAAAAGTCTGCATTGAGGTGTTAAAAATCTAATTTTTTTTTTTTTTTTTAGCTACAGCTTGTCAAATATTGGCAGCAAATTACTGCTTCCTTTTATGTTGGCAGGTGAAATGCAAGGAACTAACTGAATAGAAACAGCAGCCCTAGAGCCACTGTCTACAAGGAGCAGCTCATTGAGTGTGCTTCATTGCATAGATACTGTCTTTAGGAAAATGGTCTGCTTTGGAGCTTTAAACTGGTTTTGCTTGAATCAAAGCTAACTTCAGATATTTCTCATTGATTCTGCAGTGTCAACATGTGTGTTCTGTTGAGGCAATATGCTTAGACTCAAAGTTTCAGAGATCAGCCCATCTCTTTAAGAAATACTGTAACTGCCTGAGCAAAATAGTGAGTGGTTAGGATTGCTTATTTGTTCTCTCTCAAGTGGGGCTTTATTATTTTGTAGCTGTCGATCAAGCAGCAGCTGCAGAATAAAGACCGTTATCTGGGTGTACTCTAATACCAAAACATTGTGATTTTTGTGTGCTTTTGCTTTTGACTGTCAGTTTGAAATCCCATAGGCAAACATTTGGGAAGCGCTGGAAGCATTAGCTGATTTCAGCAGTATTTGAGGTGCTGAGAAAAAAAAAAAGCCAGATACCATGTTTAGACCTGGATCATCTGCAGAACATTGGTTAGAAGACAAAAAATCAAAGCTGTGATATTTGCCACAGGATGAGTTATTATTCAGCATATGACAGTAATAAACCAGGAAATTCGCTTCACATTTCCTTCTTCTCCAGTTGCTTTCCCTGACCCTGTTCCCTGACAGGGTAACCTGCTCTCTCCACCTAATTCTTCTTTTCCCTAATTCTGCAGGGGTTATTAAAAGCCATGGGCAAGTTATCTTAGAATTTATTTTCAAATTTCATAACTTACTTTTTCTCAGTGGTAGGTTATAGGTGTGAGAATATGTTGGCTCCCTCGCTCCTGGCCTCTGTTCTTAGGGAAATATATATTCTACCTTAAGATGAAACATCTGGAAGTGTAATGAGAAATATTAAAATCCCTAAGTAGTCAGCCAAGCAGCAAAGCCAGGTCTATAAATAAGACTGGGTCCACAAGGGATCTTCAGTTGGGGGGACCTGCAAGAAAACCCATTCCCAAGCCCTACAAGAGCCATAACATTCTCAGTAGTGACCACTTTCATGCGACTTTATTTTTGTTACCACAGTGGTCTATAAGAGAATGAATGTGAAACCCAAGCTCAGTTTTTCATTCTGCCACAGATCTGGGTGATTCTGCCAACTGACTTTTGTTGGAATTCATTTCATCTAACATAAAGAAGCAAATTGTCTAAGCTTTCTTCTTCCTTAAGAGAGCAAGGCAGTACCTGCAAAGGATAATTCATTCCACTTATCTGAGGATGACAGGAGCCATGCTCTGGAGATGCTGATCTCCATCCAGTCTCTACAGCAAAACCATCTGAACTGGCTTACATAGAAACCTGCAGACAGCTAAAGTCTGACAGTAGTGACAGGAATGGATAGAAAGCTTAAACACAGTCTGTTCCCACAGTGGTTGTCAAGACAAACAACAGAAAGGAGTTTGAAGATGGACTAGAGAAACTGAAGGCAGACAGATTCCACGGTGATGATCATCCGTTGCAGTTTGTGTTCAGCTGGCAGCTCAGAAAGTTGCTGGCCTGCTCAGTGAGGATAATAAATGGTAGGGAAGGCTTAACATGCACAGGGTACATATGCATCTCATTCTCCTCCCCTTCTTACTCCTGGTTGCTGCCACAGACAGAAAAGGGAACAAAATGGCTTTTAGTCTGATCCTGTATGGCAGCTTTTTTCCACTTACTGTTCACTTCGTGTTTTCCCAGTGTCTAATTTGCCCTTGGCCCTTCCATTGGCAGAAGCGTAGAGGCAAAGGTGTCTGAAAGGGAGGTTTGTCTGATCAAGATTTTGCACTGTTCTCTCTTGTTACACCATGGCCAGTCACTGGTAGCTGTCTTTATGGCTGGTAGTGGTGAATAATCCCAAGCACTCGTCATTCCCACTGCAGAATCACACTCTTTTCTTGTACAAGTTTGTTTCTATGCATTCAGATTCTCCTCTCCTCCTTCTCTTGCTTGTATTGACAGAGAGGTTTTTGCTCCTGGGAATGAACCAGATGAGGGAGCTGACCAGGACTGGCAAAAAAAAGAGAAAGATCAAAAATAATTCAAAATAAGTTTGTTTTCAACCACCATATCATCACCTGGAATGCTGTTGGCTATGCAGCTAGTTGTACATAAGGGTGAGGAGAAGGAGGAGGTGGGAATATTGGGTGAAGAGTGAGGCCAGCTGATGCCATCTTAACACGTGTGCAGAACTCTGGGCAGGGGAACGCTTTACATGCCACCCATGGGATGGGATAAGCACAGCAGTCTTGGGTCTCTACACAGTGGTGGCCTGGGGCTGGAACTTCAGTACAGCCACCAGAGAAAAAAGAGACATGCTCAAAATAAACCAAGTCCTTTGTGAAACATTCATCAAAAGAAGAATGGTAACTTTTATTTTTAAATGAAAGCTGACCCATTTCTGAATCTCCCAAATCCTGAGCTGGTGTGATCACCTTGGGCTGTTCTTCCTCTGTTAACCTGTGGACAGCTGAACTGAGAGAAAGAGAAAATGAATTTGTATTGTGTGCTAGATCAGAAATGTTCTGATATTTTAAAATGTCTAGGACATCAATATTATCTTCAAAGGAATTTCAACCAGATCCTAAACAAGTTTGCTTAACAAAAATTCACACAGGAGTAGTCTGAATGAATCATATCAGGGAAGTAATGCAGATTCTCAAAGGTCTGGACTGTGTTTACGCATCATAGAAACTAGATTTTTTTAACGTGCTGTTTTTCCTGTAATAATATGACTAAACTTTCAACATAGGTACTGACCAGTTTTAGCCATTTGGATAGAGGTTCAGGTTCAAAGGTTCACTTGATTCATGCTGAGGCTTTAAACAGTCTTTTTACTTCCTTCTAAGAATGCCCTATAAAAGAAATAAATTTAAGAGCTTTGTGCTTAATTGAAAAAGGAGTACTAATACTAACGTGCTCTTCAAAAAACATCTAGGATTTCTCTTCAAAAGGATTAGCCACCTGGCTTAATTTGCAGCCCTCCCACTCCTGTGTTTATGTAGAAAATCATTCATCTCTGAAAGAGAGGTGATGGAAAGAATGACAGACAAAGATAGAAGTACTGTCGATAATTTGCAGACAGACAGCAGAAGAAACTGGAATGTGTCTGATGCTGGTTTTTGTGTTTCTCTTTCCTTGCTCCTCTCATTGTGATGCTGTCCAAAAGGGAATTCAGAGCTCTAGTGATTGAGATGGTGTTGGCCACCGATATGTCCTGTCACTTCCAGCAAATCAAAGCCATGAAGAATGCTTTGCAGCAGCCAGAAGGGTGAGTCACTTCACAACGTTGTGCAGTGAGGGGCTGCATTTCAGCTGGTGCTTTGCCATTGTGTTTGCCTTCAAAAGCTCCTCTCCAGAGGCCCTCGCTGTCTCTGATGGCCACATTGATTTTCTTTCAGCTGTTGAATTTTGAATGAATTAACTTAGGAGTGCACTGGCACCCTGCTATGCACACATCTCTTCTGTGCTAGTGGACCAGAGCTTGCAAAGGTCACCATGTTAGGATAAGCCTCCCTGGGCATTTCCCTTTGCATATTAGGGGAACATCAAGGACAGGATCCAGCTGAGTCACCTCTACAGCTTGAGTATGACTCAAAGTTATAAGATCTGTAGAACACAACTTAGGCATTGCCCTTCTACAGATGGTATCAGCTGCCTCCTCTGCAAGGGGCCTGTTCCATAGCCAGAGGACAGATGAAAACAACTCGAGGTCCACTGAGGGAAGGACTAGAATATAACAGATGGAGCAATGTGGGGAAGGCCTTTTCTTCTTCCCACTACGACACTGGGAACTGTAATATTTTGTCCAGCTCTTCCCCATAAAAATCCTTTTATACTCTGAGTGATGTCATTTTTTCTGGAGGTCTGTCTAGAGTCTCCCAGAATTATACCTGTATCAGACCAGAGTGTGGCTAGCCACTTGGTCCTCTCAGAAGATACAACTCTTCCAGATATTTCATACAGTCTGAAGCTGGAATTAAAAACGGAAACATTATTTATTGTGTTCTTGGGCTAGCTTCTCAGGTTATGGCTATAAGAAATTGCCAGCCTTTTTTTGTTCTGTGGAACCAAATGCAACCATCACCATCTGACTTCACACTAGTTTTCTACCAGTGAAACATTTATCAGTTACTGTGTAGACTCCTCAGTGCCCCTGAGATCAGATCCTAACTGTTTATTACAGTAAGATGATAGGGACCAGCTTCTCTTTTGAGCTGCATAAAAAGCAGCCTAGCTGAAATGGGGAATACAGCAGCTCTTCAAACCTGCTTGTGCAGACCAGCAAGCCTGGAAAGGAGCTCAGCAAGGCTGAGCGAAGTTTCTTTTTGTACTTCTTAACATCTCTGTTACAGGAAGAATGATGTATGTTGGAGAAATTAGACAATCTTTCATAGTTGTCTGATTTTATGAACACAGAAATCATTCCATTAATACCCTGGCCAAAAATTCTAATGACCTAATTTCCCTACTTAGGTGAGATTTTTGTCATTCTCCACTGCAAGAGCAGACAATTAATTTATTTGATCCTTTGGGTTTTCAGAATTGACAAGCCGAAAGCCTTATCACTGTTGTTGCATACAGCAGATATCAGTCATCCAGCCAAGGCCTGGGATCTCCATCATCGCTGGACCATGTCTCTGCTAGAGGAGTTCTTCAGACAGGTAAAGCTAGGGAAGTTCCTCTGCATTTCTGCAACACGGAGGGAGTGTCTAGGGGTGGGCAAGGAAGTAGGAAAATATGAACACGGCTCTTTTCCTTGTTCTCTTGATTTTTCTTGAGAACTTCCTCAATGATATGAAGCTTTCTCATCTGGCACCAGTAGTACTGGCTATTACGCCTCTTGGAAGTTAGTGTCTGATACACTGCCTATAGATATAGATGTTATCTACATAGTAGAAATTCTAATTTGGGAAGCTAATATTTGTTTTAAATTAGCAAAATATAGAATATGTGATATTTTACTTGGCTGTAGAACCATAGAAAAGGATTTAGGTAGCTGTACTTTATAGAATTTTACTTATATTGTTGGAGTAGATGTGAAAAATGCATTGCCCTTACTTTAGATGAAATGAACTGATCTAGTTTATAGGTCACAGTGGGACCGCCTGTTGACAGACCCACAAATCTAGACAAATCATTAAGCTCTGTGTGATAGCTATAAGCTCCCCAAGTGTCTAATTAAAAGCATTTAAAGAGCTGCCTTAAAAAAAAAAAATTAAAAAGTAAAAGTAAAGAGAGCACTGAGGAGTGTTTAGGATACTTTTCACCAATATGAATTACTAAACTAAGCAGCAAACTAAGTGCTTCATTTTCCTCCAAAGTTCAATAAATTGATGTTTTTTAGTAAATCTTAATGAAAAAAAAAAGAGATAAATATAGGATAATTTTTTAAAAAATATCTAAATTTTTTTATCTAAATCTAAAAATTCTAACAGTTTTTTAAAATGGCATCTATTTTTAAAGCCATTGTGGAAATTCCTTCTTAACAAGGACCTTGTAAGAATTTGCTTTGAAATGAATTCTTTCTTTTTCAAACCAAGAATGGGTTTACTAGGTGGAAGCATTTTGGTCATACCTGCAGCTGTCTCTGTGTTGCCACACAGGAGGCTCATACAAGTAGGATGATTTTCACGTACGTTTTAGGGAAACCTGTGTGTTTATCTTTTCTAGCTCAAAATTATACTAGATGTGTTAAAATACGCCACTGCTGTGTTCTCTAAAGACTGATGAGGGAATTAAGATTAGCTAGATATGAGACCACAAGAAGCACAAGTTTTGATCTTTTCACATGTAATGAAGAAAAGAATATTTTATGTTTCATAAGAATAATTTTATTTCAGCCAACAAATCCTACTTTAATTTTGAATGGCAAATGTCTCTACTTTTACATAAAGCTTTATGCAAAACTTGTATTCTAGTTTGAAATTCGGATGCAGTTTTAATTCCCTCTTCAGGAACACCCTTAAGCTTACCATGAAGCATAGACTTGAGTTCACTTGAAATTATTTAGTACTAGATCAATAAGTACATCCCCACCTGACAGCAGGAGAACAGCACACACTGTACTCACAAGCTGAGAACTACCACTAGCTGGAGGGGACTATGGTGATAAGAAACTGGGCTGGCCTCAGACTCGGTGTTTATTTTCACCTGCAGACCCTTTCCTGTCCTTTCTGCTATGTGCTGTGCAGAGGTGTAAAGCCTGACTTAACCTAGATCAGTACAGGTTCCCCAGCCCTATTAGTTTCCAAGTATTTTGTGATGTGACACAGGTCTTCCTACACCAAGTAACCACGCAGCAGGTGTGAATGTTGCTTCAGAGTACAATACTGTGTTTTTACATGTATGTTTTCACATGGTGAGCATCTCTTATAAAGCAAACATCTTGCATGAATTAAGTTGTTTTATTAATGCACTTTTTAGCTAGCCATGAGGGAGCTGCCCAAATAGCTTAGAAGAAGTCAACTGTCTTCCTGAGCAGTCAGAAAGACAATTAGGGATTCCTTCCTAAAGAGAATTAGGCACTGGGGTTTTTAAGAGGCATAAGGAGTAAGAGAAGAATAATGATGAGGTAAGAGCTGACATTGAGAGGTGTTCTTCCTGAGAGATGCAGCAGACACAGTAAAGGAACGTTACATGGAAATATTTCTGGGTTTGGTTCCTGTTTTACCCTGATATTTGTACATCAGACTCCTAACAAAAAGCAGAATTGTTCTGCAATAGAAGAATACTATTGCTTGTTGTTCCTCCCAAAACTCTGCCAGGATTTGTGCCCTCATTTCATGTGTGTCATATTAACAAAGAAGAATTCAGCTGCTCTTACTCCTACAGAAGTTTGTCTCTGATTAGTTTGATGGCTATTTTAGCTTTCATTTGACATTAGTCAGAACACTGGCAAGAAGTTCAGCACATTTAAAGTGAGCTGCTGATTTAAGGAATTGATTCTATAGTATAGTTAACAGGCTATTTAAATTTGAATGCTCAGTGGGGAGTATTGCAGCTGTTTGATACCCCATATATCTTCTCAGCTTAAAGCAATATATTATAGAGTGACTGAACCAAGTTAAAGGACTTTTTGAGAATATGCAGCTTGAAAATCTGGAAAAAAATGGGATTATAAGACTTGATCTTTTGCACCATCTTGTGATGTTAGAAAAGGACTTTCAGATCTGAGGGCTGGAAAGCATGTTTGGACTTTTGTACTTAAGCACTTATGTAAAATGTTGACAACATCAGAATTTCCTTTGGAAGAAAAAAAGTGATCTGCATCTGGCCAGCTGTGACCTGTGAGTTCCTTACCTGAAAGACTAAAAAAGATATGCAAAGAAGTGCAAGCCCTGGAAAATAATTCTTGACACTGTTGTTTTCTCTTGAAAGGTTTGCTCTGAGAACTGAGTTCTGCTAGGTTCTCTGGAGAACTGCAGTGAGAAGTGTTCTTGTGCTCAAGTGGGTTTTCAGTTGGTGCATAAAAGTACCAAGCAGTCAGGGAAAGCTCTGAGGAAAGATTCACTGGAATCAAGATGCTTAATTTACTAGCTTCTGCTTGGACTACAACTTTTCCAGACAGACTCAAATTCTCCACAATTTGTGTTTAAAAACTGAAGAAACAAAAAGAAAAAACCCCACCAAAATAAAAACTTCATTAAAGTAAAATGAGAAGCCTTTACAGTTGTGAGCTAAGATATCAAAGTGCAATGTGTCTTGTCTTTTTCTAATTTCTTCTCAAATTTGTTTCTCCAGGGTGACAAAGAAGCAGAACTAGGGCTTCCCTTCTCTCCACTGTGTGATCGCAAGTCTACTATGGTTGCTCAGTCTCAAATAGGTATGTCCCTTTTGGTATGTACAAAGTAGCATCTTACAACCAAAATATGCTCCTCCCCATGGGGCCAAGATCGTGGTGATCTTTCATATTTGGAACTATGTCAAAGAGAGGAAATAAAGCACAATGGCGTTATTTTCCTCAGATCAACAATTCAAAGCTGAGGAACCACTAAATTTATGGTGATGGTTCCATGCAGTAACCAAGTTACCTCTGATGTGTCTGCAGAGGTGACTGCAGTGCCTAGTTATGATGCTACTCCATGGTTTTCTGAGCTGTGAAGATGAGGTGCACATGGCAACGTGTTGTGATATGAGTATTGTTGGTGGATATGAAAATGTAATGTCAGTCCCTTTGATGACCTGGGCAAAACCTATTATGCGTTTTTCTATTTATTCCTCCCACCTTTTCCCTCCCAGTGCTTCCAGCCAACCAGTATTTTTCACTGAAGCCAAGAAAATAGCAAACCTATTTCTGCTGCACCCATTCAGAAACAGAGATCTTTTTGTAGACTCAGCAGCAGCACTTTCTCTACCTCTCCTCTAGTTATTGAGTGAAAATGTAGAAGAATGAGGCAACAAGCCTGGTATTTGGTGGGAAAACAAGAGGGGCTCAGTGAAGTAAAACTGTACAGGAGGCTCAGAGCAAAAAAAGACAATGGAAAAGGTGGATTTGTGGGTGGATTTTTATACCTCGGAATCAAGTGAAGTAGACAGAATAATGTGATCTAACCTTGACTGGAGAATAGGGTGCCTAATGGAATAACAAAAGAAAAATAACACGGACCCTAAAAAGAGAGAACCAAGTGCAGAAGCAGAAAGAGAGCAAATGTATTAAAGGAAAACAAACAAAAAAATTGAAGTATGAAATGTCTCTCAAAGGACAAGACAAATGTATCCCTGAATCTCAGAAAGTTCAGATTCCTCTCTGTGGCTAAGAGCCATTTCTGTTTAGAATTATTTCATTGTTCCTGTTAGGCAAACCATACTCTGAGGGACCCCATCCCAGATTTTTCTGGCTTTGGAAGTTTAGACAGTTCAGCCAAGAATCTGAACTTGAAAAGCCCTATGCAGGCCTGACCTGGAAGCCAGACTTGTAGCATTCACTCCTCTGGACCAGTTACCCAGAAGAGTGGGTATGTGTGTAGAGCACAGTGCAACTGCTGAGGATATTTGTGTTCTGCCAGCGGCTCGGTGGAGCGAAGCAGCAGCAAACTTGAAGTGCCGCAGTCTCAGCTAAAACCCATGTTGAGGACTCCTGGGCAGGCTACACCTACTGCTGTGCCGTGGGAGAAGATAACTCTCTCCCTTTGTCTGGTGTCAAGGGAAGTGCATGTAGAGACTTCTCTGTCATATCCCTTCTAGCAGCTTTCAGATACGTCCCTCACTCCTTACAGGGAAGGGAAGTTGTACTTCCCATGGGATCCCTCTATGCAGGGTTCTGTGTGCTTGGAAACCAGTTTTCCTTGTCCTCCTCTTTTGCACTCCTTTGCTCAGGAAGGCCAGCACAACCAAGAGACTTCTACACCAATATCCCATAAGTCAAGCCACTGCAAAATTAGTGATGAATTAAACCATCACCAACGCAATTCCACCTTACAAAAGAGGCACTTGTCAGTATGCAAAGGCAGCTTTATTTGGTTATATAGTATTTGTCATTATATTCGATTTGTGCAGTTTAGTAATCCATTGACATGAATAGGCTACTGTCTATAAATCTTGCCTCCTACCATTATAAAATTTTCATTTCTCAGTCTGCTGCACATATTGGCAGTGTCTTTCTGTGACATCTCCTTTGTTAAACCAAAACCTCTTATATTTTCTGTCTATCTGCTGAGGTAAGGCTTTTACAGTTGTAGGCTAGATTCTCAGACAAATAATCCGTTCCCATTCATTTATTTACCTGATTAATAGCCTTAACAAATTGTTCCCTGGAATAGTAATTACTACATTTCTTTGCTAAAATAAGTTCTTGTTGAATTCCAAATTGTGCTATTATCTGCAACAAGCAGCCATCAATTCTCACAAATAAAAAAACAAAAAACCTCTGTCCTTTGTGAAGTAAAATTGTGCTCTTGGTTGTGTCAGAGACAGAGCCTAGAAATCCTGTTCTGGTGGCTTGGCTTGTTTGTAGTTGCTGGTTTGCTGCTTTAAGGTTACTGCAGATGCAACAAATGTGAGCAAACATTTTTATTAATGAAAGATTTTCACAAATGCAGACTGGACATTTTACAGTATGGACTTTTTCCATGGAAATGAACAATCTAACAGCAAAAACTTCCTCAAAAGAAGGAATGAGTTGCTTTAGTTTGTGAAGAAATGGTTCAGAGTTTAAATTGATAATTAAAAAACCCCCTGAATATCAAATAATGAATCTGGGTTTTAAAACCTATTAACATTTACACTAATGACCAATTTATCATACTTCTTCAATAGAATGAGTGTGGTAAATATTTCTCTACCACACTGAAGTAAAGAAATCAGGAGAGATTAATGTCCAGAAGTCAGGCTGCTTATCAGAGTGGAGGAGACAAGCAAAGTGCAAAGAAAACCAGGCTAAGACTTGTATTTCCCAAGAAGAGTATCAGGAATTAAAGCTTCTCTGTCTGTTTCAGACTGTAGGAAGTTTGTTTGACTGGAGATCAGCTTGTGTTGTCATTGTCCTCTTTTGCAGCTGATAAATGTAGCAGCTTCCTTTTATTTTTGTCCTTTGGCTGGCAAGAAAGAAAACATTGGATAAAGGCTGTGTTAATTGGTAAAATCATCTTAGTCACTGGGGTACAGAGGTATTTACCACACTCATTTTATCGAAGAAGGATGATAAAATAGTCATTAGCATTAATAGGTTTTAAACCTCAGGTTCATTATTTAATATTCAGGGTTTTTAATTAGCAAACTAAATAACTGTATTTAAATCACAGTGTCTTTAGATAAGAAGAGAAAGAACACGAAGGGGGTCACTTGGGAGTATGGTATAAGTTACATAATTATTAATAAAGTCGCAAGTTTTGTTTCTGTGATAGCAGATTATGTTTCCCACCTTAATTATAATCCCCATTTTAAGGACACATAGTTGAATAACTTAATCATGTTACAGAGAATAGAGGAAAAAAATACCACTTATGAAAGGAAAGTTCTCCTAGGTCTCTGAGCCTGTTTACCTGTGGTCCCTTGTGCCACCTCTGCCTGTCTTTGTTGATGAGATGCAAGACTTCTCTCAGAGAAAGCTTGTTTCTCAGTTGATAACGACTGGACCTTGTGTTTATGTGCAAATATTGGGTATCTCAGGCAGCAGGTTCCACAACCCCACTGCTGAAGTTAGTGACAGTCACGTGTGTGAAACCAGAGATTTGCATGTTTCAGGGTTGTTAGTGGTGATGGAGCAAACGGCAGTGGTATTACTTGCCAAGCAGAAGTGACCAGGTACTATGGCTTGGGTTTCTTTGGTCATTAAGAGGTAAAATTTTTTGAGTGAAGTGGAACAGAAAAGACATACAGACAGGCACACTCACACACATGTTGATCAAATTCTCATTGTCTTCAGAATTCCTGTGGCACACTAAACACTATTCTCAGTCAGTACCATTTCCAGTGTTTTAAAAATTTCCATGAAGTTTGCTGGGATTATCTGGGTTGTGATCTGGCACACAATTTCCTGTCATGGCTTTATACTGCATGCATTTCTGATTAACTGCCTGGGAGGAAGGGAGTTCTTTTTTCCCTAAATTTGAATAGATAAGACTGTCTCAGTGTTATGGAGGCTCATGATTCAGATGTTCAGATAAATCTGAATGCATATTTTCTCCAGATTTACAGAATGTTAGTATGAAATTCTGAGAACTTGCAAGGAATGTTTTTAATTTGGCTAGGCATGGAAATACACTTGATTACCCATCCTTTTAGAAATTTAGCAAAAATCAGAGGAGGGAAATGGAACTAGAAGGATGCTCAACTGCTTTGCATTCAAGATGTGGATCAAAGCATCTGTGAATCCAGGTGCCTGGCCCATGTGATCTCTTCTTTTATTTTTTCTGTTATCACCTAGAATTGCCAGGGTCTGTTCTAGAAACAAATCATGACCCACTCAGAGAAATGATAATATTATGAATGTACAATTAATAGTTGATAATTACCAAATCTTAAAAAAAATTAATAG